CCGCACCGGGGACACGTCGCCGGCTACAGAAAGCTGTCGATCGCCTCGTCCTTGCAGCTGGCCGCAGCATCGAGCCCGCGGAGAACCCCCCCACGGTGCGGCCGGTACATGAGGGGCACGGCCCGGCCGCAGCCCAGCCGAGCCGCCGCAGGGCAGGGAGCGCCCCGAGCCGCCGCCGCCGCCGGAGCCCCGAGCGCTGCGCCCCGAGACAGAGCCTGCCCCGACCCCGCCGGGCGACCCGGGAGAGCCGCTTAAACACCTTCCATGGGGGAGAGAGGAGCCCGGCCGGCCGCGCCTTCCCCTCCCTGCCGGAGGCTGCTGCGCTGCTGAGGTAAAACCCCTCCTGCCTTGCCCGGCTCGAGCGAGGGCGGGGGACGCGCGGGGCACCCACAGCCCGGCCCCGCTGGATGCCGAGTGCCTGAGGAGGGAGCGCGTTCCGGGGGCTCGCTGGGCTGCGGGAGCCGCGATTCCCGGGGAAGGAGGCGAGCCCCGCACCACAAAACACCCTCCCGGCAGCAGAGAGCGAGAAAAAAAACCTCCTTCCCCTTCCTCCTGCACAACTCGCTGTCCCCTCCCTTCCCTTTCCCGAACGGTGAACGCTGATTTCTGAGATGAAAACCTTCCTCCTCGGACAGCCAGGAYTCATATGAAGGACACGCAAATATTGGATCATAAATAAGAAGCGAGTCTGGCGAGCTCAGAAACCCAGCCCAGAAGGAGCAGCATCAAGAATCCACCCTTCTCCTGCACAACTCACTCCCCACCCAGCACACAGAGAATACTGATTTCCTGAGATAAGATCTTACCCCTTTAAACAACCACACACGCACACACGGTGTATATTATTGCTAAATATAATAGGTTAAACCCAGCAGCACGGGATAAAGCCTCTTCTGCAACTCACTCCCCCATTTCACCCTTCTGAATGCTGAGATCCTGAGATAAATTTTTCCCTTGTCCACAGCAAAGACTCTTTTTGAACAGGACACAAATATATATTAGATTATAGAGATGTATTAAATTATTCCAGATTTAAATCTATTTTTTGCTGCCAAGGGGTTGAGGGACCAGACGTCATTGTATTTTTTTTTTGTTCCCTCTTAACTCATTTATGGGCGAGTCAAGGCTGCTGAGGAGGAARAAAACAGGATAGTTAGAATCTCTTTATCCTTATTCCCCAGAAGCGTATTCTCTCATTGCTGTGCATTTCCTTTAGAAAAAGGAAACCTCTTATTTTGTGAACCAAAGATTTATTTTTCCCTTCCTCCTGGCCAAAGGAAGGAAACGGACACAAATTGACACATTGAAATAGTTAAAGAGATCTATCTTTTGCAAAAAAAAAAAAAAAAGAAGAGAAACATCTTTATCCAAATCTAAAATAAATAGCGTGGAGGGAGAAACTGGAATATCTAGCGAAAAACAGGATACTTGCTAATCTTGCCTCACAAGAGGACAAGCTAAACACTAAACATCAACTTGTTCTTACAGGGAGGATTCAAACCCTAAATATAATAAATGGGGGATTACGGGTTTGGAGTGTTAGTGCAAAACAACACTGGAAATAAGTCAGCTTTTCCAGTCAGATTTCATCCACATCTGCAGCCTCCACACCATCATCAAAATGCAACCCCCAGCCCTGCTGCTTTTATAAATAATAACACAGCTGCCAATGGCAGTAGTGCTGGGTCAGCTTGGCTCTTTCCTGCTCCAGCTGCCCATAATATTCAGGATGAGATTCTGGGGTCAGAAAAATCTAAAACTCAGCAACAGGAAAAGCAAGAGTCCCTAGAAAAACAGCAGCTTTCCCCTGGTCAAAGTCAGGAAGCAGGCATGCTCTCTGAACCCGAGAAAGCTAAAACTGAAGAAAACCAGGGCGATAATTCTTCGGAGAACGGCAATGGAAAGGAGAAAATAAGAATAGAATCGCCGGTTTTAACAGGATTTGATTACCAAGAGGCTTCGGGGCTCGGTACTTCGACACAGCCCTTGACATCCACTGCATCTTCTCTGACTGGTTTTAGTAACTGGTCTGCAGCTATTGCTCCTTCTTCTTCTACAATAATCAATGAAGATGCGAGTTTTTTCCACCAGGGAGGGGTCCCTACTGCCTCAGCTAATAATGGTGCTCTGCTGTTTCAGAATTTTCCACATCACGTCAGCCCTGGCTTTGGTGGTAGCTTTTCCCCCCAGATCGGACCCCTCTCTCAGCACCACCCTCATCACCCCCATTTCCAGCATCATCACAATCAGCATCAGCAACAGAGGAGGTCTCCTGCAAGTCCTCACCCACCTCCATTCACACACAGAAATGCTGCTTTTAATCAGTTGCCTCATTTGGCCAATAATCTGAACAAGCCACCTTCTCCATGGAGCAGCTACCAAAGCCCGTCGCCCACYCCGTCCTCCTGGAGCCCCGGCGGCGGCGGATACGGCGGGTGGGGAGGGTCCCAGGGCCGAGACCACCGCCGGGGACTGAACGGAGGGATAACCCCCTTGAACTCCATCTCGCCCTTAAAGAAGAATTTTGCAAGTAATCATATCCAGCTGCAGAAGTATGCACGACCCAGCTCGGCCTTCGCTCCCAAATCCTGGATGGACGACAGCTTGAACAGAGCTGACAACATTTTTCCTTTTCAGGTGAGCACGCTCTGTTGTGTCCATAAGTAAAAAAAAAAAGAAACTTCCCCAAAGAGCTTTCATATGCCCTGGTTTTGGAATTTCTATGCTTGCAACTAAAAAAAAAAAAAAAAAACTGTTGTGTCCATAAGTAAAAAAAAAAAGAAACTTCCCCAAAGAGCTTTCATATGCCCTGGTTTTGGAATTTCTATGCTTGCAACTAAAAAAAAAAAAAAAAAAAAAAAAAAAAAAAACTTCCCCAAAGAGCTTTCATATGCCCTGGTTTTGGAATTTCTATGCTTGCAACTAAAAAAAAAAAAAAAAAAAACACATATGCCTAACTTGAAATGTCATAGTGGGAATGATCCTCCAAGCTGTGATTCATGGGGTTTTTTTAACAGTGATGGTCATAAATATCTATTGCCCACCAGYCATCTGTGTTTGCCACTTTGCTTCAGCTTAATACACAGATAYAGCCAATGAAGAAATAAACATACAAGCATTTCTACAGAGGGAAAAAGGAWAAAAAGTGCCTGGTGGAATATGAAAGATCTGAGGCCTTTTAAACTATTCAGCACTGTACCACATCTGACAAAAAACACTGAGTGATTGTATTTGGTTTTACAGTATCACATGGGCTTGCAGTGCAACGTAATTTTTATAGCATTTTTGGGCAACTTTGYTTTTTACAAATAATGGTAATCAGTGCAGTTTGCTCTCCTCAGGAATGGCAGCAAATTTTGGTTACAGGCCATTAAATCGGCACTAAAAATAGATGTGGATGAGATCAGTTGGTGGTCTCCTATATTTTGCTGTGGCCTTCTCCTGGCAGGAGGCAGGTTGTCTGGCAGCTCAGCCTCTCTTTCTGGGCTGACTTGTTATGAATTTGAAAAGAACTGTATAATGTTGGACCTAATTTGCAGTAGAAATTAAACCAGAAGTCCCCTTTTCATCTGACCACCAGTTAAACCCAGCTTTTATGTGTGTGTGTGTGCCTTTTGTAAACTCCTTTAGGGRGAATTAAAAGACCCAAGAGTTCTTTTACATTTGCAGGGTTGTTTTTCAAGCTCTTCAAATGAGGGCAAAAGTAAAATTCTCAACGTGATTGCAGTATTTCTTGCCATGCTGCACGAACTGGGGTGACCTACTTTAACACAGTTTCAAAGATAAAAACTGTGCAATGTGTCTCATGATGTAAAGAAACAGAAATACATTTAACAGTGACTTTGTGGATTTGTGGGTAGTTGGGCTCTTTGCAAACTGCAGGTTTTTGGTGGTGTGCAGGCCCTGCTGACAGCACAGCAGCTGCTGGCAATAACTTTCCTTTAGAGCCTTTTTTTTCTACTGCAGTGCTACTGACTGGTTTGGTATCAGGTAGAGCCCTTCTAAATTTAGAATGCAGAGTAATAATTGATTTTAATGTCAGGATTTGTAATGAATATAATGAAGCYGTGTCCAGCATACCAAATTTATCCAGTGAAACCATTGGAAAAGGGGACCCAGCTGGAACTGGTCTCTTTTCAGCCTCACTGCAGCGAGCCTTGGCTCACGGTTTGATTCACTCTGTACCCTGACACGTAGCTGATGTTCAGAGTGACAGAATGAGATCAAGTGTGTCCTTGCTGCTGTGTGTAAGCCCCAAATATACACACAGGCAGAGCAATGTGCTTGGATAGGCATCAAGGAAATTTCAGGAAACTGGCAAAGTCAACCTTGACTTCTGGATGGTGTTCCAGACACAGAATAGCAGACACACGTWGTTTGATCATGGTAAAGAAATCATTTTGGTGTAGCATGTTGGTGTCTGTTTACATAAACACTCTGATGAAGCTGTACATGTCAAGACCAAGTCTGACACTCCTTYATGCCAAGAAAAGGAAAGTGTGGAGTGAAGTGCTTTCCAGTCTGTTACTATCACTTCTGTGAGCAAAGGGGCAGGSCAGCAGCACAGGACTTCAGCACTGCAGCCCGAGAAAGATGCTGATTAATTTTGAAGCCATCTTGGACAACTGCTTATTGCAACTTTTTTTCTCTTGTATAAAAATCCTTAGCTCCTTTGGTCACTTTAGCTGGGTGTTGAAAGTACAGTGACAGTGAATTTTTTAATCACTGGAAACAAATAATGTAAAATTTGACCTTTGATGCCTTTTTTTTTTCCTTGATTATATTGCTTCTATGCCTGACTCAAAGCAGAATTTTTCTTATTATATATTTGTGTTCATGCATCTCTCTCTCTGCCCCCGAAGTATCCTTGCTGATGCAATCATGTACTGGACAAGGCTATTTTGTTACTGGAATCTTCTTAGATTCCTGTTTAGGAAATAATTGAAAGCTGTCTTTGCTGCAGCAACATAATGGAGTAATTTGATCCAACAATCCCTTTCATTTAATATTTATGTTTGCTGCTTAAATCATTAACAAGTGGTGCTGCAATCTAGTGAAAATGAGTTTCTTTAGAAGGCAAAATGTAAACCAGCAATTGCAAATATTTGGAGATCACTTTCTGTTCTTTTTCTTTTTCTCAAAGGTTGTCTATTCCAGATCTTGGTGACACACAGGATTCTGTCTGTGTTTTGATGGAAATATCTTTGGGTAACCAGGAGTAAGAGCTCTTTTCCTCTTTGGAGAGGATGGCGTCACATAATTTCCCTATAAGCCACTGACTTATGGTCCCTGCTCCCTTCAGACGTTCCTGAATGAAATGGGTGCTCCAAATGGTGCAGATGAAAGGAAAATACTGTGGTGATCCGTKTGATAACCTTGCAATTTGATGATGCCTTGCCTTGGCACTGAGAGCTGCATGCAAACCCTGTGCTCTCTGCTCTTAAGTGTTTTCCATTTGGGATCCTGTCTCCTACATTCCCAAATGAGAATGTCTGTAGGAGACCTCTTGCAGGGGTGGAACTGGCAGCAAGGTCAGAGAAGACTTAACCAGATCTGTTAATGAAATTAAGTTTTGATGTTGTGCTTTAGCCACTGGGCAGGCTCCCCCCTTCAAAGATCTTTTCAAAAGAGAAAAGCCATTGTTCTTTGTGTGTTCGTTTGAAAAGGAAATGGTCTCCAAATGAAAAAAATGGTTCCTGAATTCAAGYTAAAAAGCAAAAAAATGGAGTCTTTTGGCTCTCACAGCCTTCCCTGAGAATTWATATATGAAAATGCTTTGACTGTGACTGTGGCACCTTACCAAGTTAGTAATTTTTAAGAATAATTCCTTGTACTTCTCTCTCAGCAGCACTGACAAACTCAGTGCTCAGTAATTGCATTTCACGGCAGCGCTGCCTTCAAGATTGTTTTGGCTTTCCTTTGGCTGTGTACTTGCACTTCCTCATGAGTGGAACATCCTGCCTGTTATGCAATGCATAAATCTTGCTTTGATAGGCATTTCCAGCTTTCCAGATCTCATCTTCAACGCGTGACGATGTTTTTTAAATGGCTCTCTGAAGGCACGACCAAGTGAAGCAATAGTGCTCAGCTTTCTGTAGAAATGTTTAAAAAGAATTTGTGCTTCTTCCCGGAACCAGGCTCGAAAATAACTGCCCATTTCAAAGAATTTGGTACATGAGAGCAGGTCATTGTATCCACTTGTTCAAAATGTTTTTTCCTTTCTTCCACAGTGGCTGGTTTCCAGGTATAWAACCCCTTCCAAATCCAGCCAGGGCCTGTGCCAGGGAGACTTGCTCTTCCCCCAGGCAGATATGGAATGTTTGAGAAAACACATTTGTGATTACAAAACGTGTTTGAATTCCGACCTCTACGTCAGCATTTGTTTGCCCATAGAAATGGCCTGATTTAATAAGTGCATTAAACAAATTCACAGAGATCTGGAATTAAAAAAAAAAAATAGCCTCTTGAATGCGTTTGCCAAAACTTTCCTCTTGAAAKGATCTTGCAAATAAATTTCTTTCCATGCCTCTTTGTTTTAATATTTGGGTTTGAGGAACCTTTTCATAACTCACGATGGCTGGTTGCATAAAAAGAGCTTATTTGTTTTGCAGAATTTCTTTTTTTTTTTCTAGCAACAGCAATTATTCCAAGAAATTTACAGGTATCATTTGAAAACAGAACGAATACTTGAAGCTGGGGTTTTAAACCCRTTCCCCTATTTTTCTCCAACTCTATCAGCTGTGTAGTAATTGTGTTTTGTGTGCTGTTCCCCACAGCTACTGATCTGTGGGATTAGCAGCACTCTAATGTGGTATGACATGCACAAGTTAAGTGCYGGGGAAGTTAACACTGTTCTTGTTTTATAAACTTACTACTGACGTTAATACTTGGGCTTTGGCCCTCCTGTGTGCTTTTGACCTCAGGGTTTCTGTTTAAAGAGAGCTTTTGTTAGAAGCTATTTGAATTATGTTTGTCTTTTTCCTAAGATTAAAAGGAGTACTCTTATTAAGCATTTTGCTTTGAAAGTTGCGTACTTAGCAGCTCAGCACAGAAGGAGAAGACAAGGTATTGTGGAAAATAATTTCTGGAAGATACATGATAAACTTTATGTGCAGCTAAAATAGAATYACACGTGTTATAAACATTTCCAGTAAAAGTTTGTCATTTCTAGCACTTAAAAAGTTCAAGTTGGACTAAACCAGAAGTGTGCTCTCCCAAAAAAACTTTGTGTTTTGTGCCACTTAACTTTTCCAGCTCTTTCTTATTGTTCCCTGGTGAAGCTATAAAAGATGATCTGGGYAGAATACAGCAACATCCTTTCAGGAAAAACCTGTTTATTCAAAGCCTTTAATTCACTGGATACAGGACTGGGAGCTGGAATACAGCATTTGCAGGGTGCTGGGAAGGAGGAGAAGCTTACCCAGAAGCTTAATCAAATCCAAATTTGTGTTGCAATAAAGAAAAAGCATGGAACTGGTATTTAGAATGATAAATATGATGATACTGCCTCTCCTGTGCCTGAGACACATGGCTTTGGAATTGTGGGAAATGGGAACAAGGGTTCAGAAAGTTTCAGGCTTCTCATGCTATAATGAGGGTACAAATGTAGATGGGAGGTTTTTGATTTGCACAARTATTCTGGTTTGACAAAGATTTAATTGTACAAAACAAGTTCCACTTTCATAACTACACCTACTCCATAAATGCTGCCTCAAGAAATTGCTTAATGCAATGGCATCTTTTGCATTATTGTTGATGCCTTGGACTTCAGATCAATCTTCAGAGATCAGGCCCAGCCTGAGCTGCCAGCAAGTGTTCATACCTTGGTTTTTTTTGGTACARTTTGGGATTTAACACTGGAAGGCCCATCCTGGGAAGTGCACTTAGGTGCTGAAACCTTAATTATTCAGGTGATGGTAATGCTGTGGGTGCAGGTTAAATATAATAAATCTGCACTTCAAGGGTTAAGTTAAATGTCCATTTTTCTGATGTTCAAGATAATTAAGGTATGGGATTTTTAAGTTCAAAGTATGGTCTTCCTGTGCAGGAGAAATTCACGTGGAATTTCTTTTCCATGGGAGCATGGCCCAGTGTATATCATACATGCTTTGCATCCAGTGACTTCCTTTTTGGAATGAAATGTCTTTGGACTTTGAAGAGTGAAGTTGGAATAGGGGTTAGAATTTAATTATTCTGTCAGCAGAGATGGCCAGTGCAGAGTGCAGAACTGCTTTGTTGGTTATTTTAGGACAGTCTCAGCAGCTCATTCTTAACCAGATCTGCAAGCTGTCACCTCTTGTGCATTGTGCAAACAGCACTGCTTATTCAGAATTACCCTTAATGAATGTATTTTGAAATCTTGGCTCAAATTTTAAACACACTCATGTATTAAGACTGCAGGTTGACTTCTTTCTTTTTGGTTGTTTTGTGGCTTTTGTTTGTTTAATTTGGTTTGTGTTTTGTTTGTTTTGGTATTCTTTTTTTTAATTTTTTTTTTGTTGTGGCCTTATGTTTACCTGATGTCTTTCTGCTCCAGTTCTGTTTCCCGAGGATAAAAGTGTGTAGCCTTTGAGTCCTCTGATAAACCAACATTTTAGCTGCCTTAAACAAACTTGTATAAAGCCAAGCTCTTTTGGAACCTAGGTGAATAATCTCAGGCTGTGGCTGCCCCATTTTGTTACTGAATTGTACATTCTCTTCTTTAGTTCAGGGTATTCATTACCCCAGTATATTTTCTTTGTAAATAAATAAGTGTACAGTAGCAATCCAGCTCCAAAACACTGTAACCTTGTGAATTGCTTCATTAAAACCATCACCATAATTTTATTAGTTCTCTCTACATGAAACTKTTTAAAGAAAACATAGGTTTTTCCTAAGTACAGTGTGGTTTATGTGCTTTGTAATCCATAAGTAACATTTATCTGAGAAAAACTCCGATTTAGTTACCAGTTCACGATCAATATCTTGATTATTAGAGCTGTTTTTGATGTTGTGGAATGAAATGCAGAGTTTTGCATTTCTTCAGGGATTTGGCCATTCCCACTAACCTTCACCAGCCTTTATTTTTTTCTTTAGGTGTATATATAGGATATATTTCAGATGTATTCCTGATAAAATGTTTTGGAAGTTAAGACTGATAAAATCCATGCTACTATTTTCGAAGGAATTTCACTATAAAAAAGACTTAAATTTGTATAAAAATTCTCAAAACTACCRATGGTGCCTTTCTGTAGTAATGTACAACCTTTCAGTGTTAGGGCAAGTAATCAATTTAACTAATAGAATTTTTTTTTATAACAAGCACTGTTCAAACCTCTGACCCAGCTGAGCTTGGCAGTTTGGTTGTCTGTATTTAGGACTGACATCCTTTCATTGGATAGATTGTTCCTTGCACACCAAGTTTTAGCCATTCCTGGTTTTTATGGGATTGCTGATAGCTGCAGRTAGGAATGTAACCGGTTAATCTTTSTATCAGTGGGCAGGGTCTTGTTTTAAAGTTCTTGCAAGGTGATTTGCAACTCATGGACCTTACCCTAAAAAAGGGAATTTGAAAGGGAAAACTGTAAACTCCTCAGCACCAAAAACTTCCACTGCAGAACAAGTTTCCCTGCGAACCAACCAGTTCAATTCCATTTTTTTTTACCCTTTACATGTTTCAATTCTCTGTTCTCAATATTAAAAACTTTGCATTGTAGCAAATCCTTTGTTACTACAGCTCAACCCAACATAATGCAGATATTTTGGAGAGAGGAGACTTCAGGCTCAGGTGCTCAGCACAATAAACTGGGAATTACTTGGCCTGGGTCACTTCCTYTGTGTCTCTCAGACAACTGAAATGTGAAGTGTCACAATTCCAGGAAGATTTGGAATTACTGAGGTTCTGCACATTGTGAAATTACAGTTTTGGAGCTGTTCATGGGGTGGGCTTGAGGTTAACACAAGRATTCAGGAAGGAGAAGCTGCTGAGGGACACAAGTGTTTCACARAACGCTCCCACCTGTGTTTTAGGCTATTTTTGTCATTTTGGGAGGACTGCTGGAAATGCAGAGATTACCTTTTAATATCCATTCCTGAATTACTCAGCTGTTGTACCCCAATGGATCCAAAACCTGAGGACTTGTACTRGATCCTGCTCATTCTAATGTAACTAGAGTTGGAAATAGTTAGGAACTAGCAATGCATAAACCAAACCAATAAATTCAGTCTGCTAGGATTTCTACAGGCAGAAAACTGGAGGAAATATGTAAAAGAAAAGCATGGAATTTAAGAATTTAAACACTCCTGATRGTTTCTCTAAGGTGCCTCAATTACCTTGTAATAGAAATGACCACGGAAATAAATCCTGRGGGGAGACAGGGCAGTGCTGTGCTTTTTATAGCAAATTTGATATTTGCTWGACTTAATAAAGGAACTGGTTCCAAACTCTGGCCTTTCTAATGCTATTTGAGACACGGCACATCCGGGTTGAAATACGTGGCCTGTTCTGTCTCAGTAATAAACTGTTCTGAAGAGGGGAAAAATACCAGGAAATTTGATTGAAAAATGGTATTTTTTAGCGATCAGAATGTAATTTACAGCTTGGAAATGGATCAGGARCTGGTGAGTTCCTGCTCTTGGAATAGTCTGAGGTATTTAAAGTCCAGAATGAGTGATCAGTGAATTCAGGATTGGCCCTTGCAGTGCGCAATCACTGCTACCTCAGCACCGAAATAAAGCACTTTATAACTCACCACTGCCTTTAAAAATATTCCAAGTTGGATCTGTRTGCTTTGGAGAAATTTCAGCTTCACAGCCAGTGTTAGGGACAAAAAACATACTCAGCACTGGAATAACAAGAGTTGTGGAGAAGCAGTTGGGAGCAAAAATGTCCTGAATTGCTCACATTTCRCTTTCTTGTTTGAACAGAGAGACTTCCCAATGCTGGAGCTCGGTTCAGAGGGGATTCCTTAGAGCAGGAAAGAAATAAAATCTTAGAACTGATGTTAGAGAGCTTCTTGGACAGAAAAAAAAAATAAAATCAAGGTGGATTAATGTAGTTGTGTAAGATTCTCTCCAAGTCCAAAAGTATAAATGCACATCATGGATATGTGAATAATACTTGGSAATTCGAGTGATTTTTGCCTCCCTTTGGGACCTTTTATGATACCTTTTATGACCTTTTATGATACTGTAAAGATYTCTGAGATTACATGAAATTTCAGTTATTCTTAATTTGCCAATTCAAATAAAGTGGTGCCAGGGTATTTTATTTTACCTTTTGCTACTGTGACATCAGATTCATAAAATGTGGGATTTATGGTTTGGTTGAGAAATTCTGACCGGTGCATGGGTTAAATGACGGCTTTGATTAAGAGGAAGGAGAAATATTTGGTATTAGACTGGAGGTGGCTGGAGGTAGTGGGACAGGTACAGGAGACTCTGTGCCTCCCATCTGTTGAGTCTTCCTTYAATTCTGGTAATGCCTGGAATGGCAAACTTGGGAATTCAGGGAATTAAAAATCAAAGCAAAGTTGTCACCTGGTAAATGAGACTATTTGGAGACTCCTGCTTGTACAAAATACATTAGAGTTATGTAGAATTTGAACTGTACAGAATTCAGTTGTTTCAGGTGTTGAGATAGTCTAGGTAAAGGAAATTCAGTGTTTCTGGAATTGAAATTTGGACTGAAATACCTATTTTATKATTTGTCCTTGCAATTCTGCCTTCCAGGGATATGATCTTTATTTCCTGTGAAATTAYTTTTAACAAAGTTCAGCTGTACAGCAAMGAGTACAAACCAAATCTCRAATTTGGATTCTTAAATAATTGGTTATGATTACTGTAGACCAGATTCATATTTTAACATATTGCAATTTTTAATATTCCTCTATCAGACTGCCTTTGGTGTATGGCTTTTGCTTGATTCTGCTGTGGTTCTGTAGAAGAAAAGTGAAGTTTTTGTRTTTCAGATGGTCTTGTTTAACACTGGCTCTGTGTTTGCTTGCAGGATCGCACGAGGACTTTTGACATGCACTCACTGGAGAACTCCCTAATTGACATAATGAGGGCTGAAAATGATTCACTGAAAGGTAAATTTAGACAGAGACTTTTTCCTGCAGTAAATAACTGGGGAGAAGGGCTTGCTTAGAATAAGAACCTTCAGTTCTGGTTAGGAAAAGTGAAGTTACCTTGCACCTGATGTCTTTTTTCAGTTGCCTGAATGAAGCTGTTACAACRCAGGAGCACTTGAGGGTGTCTATCCTTGTCCAGAGCAATTCAGAACACAAACATAGGCTGACCTGTTATTTCCCAGTGTTTTTGATTGAATCTTGTACAGCTCAACAAGATGTAACTTTTTGTTTAATACAGTTTTCTTGATGAAGTCATATTTTTTTCTATCCTGGGAAAAAAAAAGGTTTATCCATGTCCTTTTCAGAAAAACACTGAGTATTTAATTTTTTTTTTTCTTTTTTGGTACCGTTGGTTAAGGGAAAGGGAGATTGAAGTGACATGCATTTGGGATTTATCTCTTTTTTATTCWTTAGTTTTTTTGGCAAAGGTAATCTTGCTTTGGAAATACCTCAGTTTACAAGCTATTCAAAGTGCTGTCTGCACAGAATTTTGTCTGAATAGAAACTGCCTATGGTCTACAATTCAGAGCTGTAGTTTCATGTCCTGTAGAATGAGTAATCCATTTCAGCTCAGTGGTTACTCATATGAGTGGAGTAGTCAAACTCTCTCACACACTTCTTATCTARCCACTCACTTTTGTTACCAGTCATGAGACCACTAAAAAAAAACAAACCTGTGCTTGTGGTTTCTGCAAGTAAATTCCTTTTGATATCAAGGCTTGCGGTGGTAATGAAATCTGACTTGTTTTAATAGTGATTCTTGCTCAGAAGGCCAACCTTGGATAAACTGGCAAGAACTTGTGGTCTGGAAATGCAGCTTGAGTTTCCCACCCCCAGTGCTGTGCAGAAATTCAGTGTGGTGAGAAACACCATKAAATACTTCCCTATTGAAARGACAGGGAGAGCCTGATGTAGATTYAAGTGATGCCRMATAAATGAAAACCCCAAAATACCTTCCCTCCTTATGGGATCAGGCTTTTATTCATGACAAGTATTAACAGCTTTCATTTGGTTTATGTTCTGTCTGGCAACCTTCTGTGGCCCCAGCATTGTACACAGAACCAAGAATCAGATGCCCTTCCTTAACTGAGCACCTGGGATTTGCCCCAAAACCTTCTATCCAACTGCCAGGCAGTCCTAAACCAGGTTGCAGCTCTGAAATCCAGCCTGAGGTGATGTGGCCATAGAACAAACAAAATTTCCCTTTAAATCTGAATTTAACAAAGTCCACGTAATTTGTATTTATGGTCAGCTGCTAAGCAAGGGTACTTCTGAAAGGGGCTTGATATTTAGTTTAAATGCTTTGAAAAGGTTCTTTGCAGTTGAAATATTTCTTTTTGAGTGCTTAGCATGTTTTAAGCGTGATGGAATAAGTATGTCAGCAAAGAATACAAACAGTTCTGACACGCTTTAATTCCTGCTTTAGCTTGAGTGTTAATCCCCTCTGCAGAGTCATCTGTGGCTTCTCTAAAGTTCTGTGTGCCTTGTCTCACGCTGATTGAAACACAGGGATATCAATCAGGTCCTGGTCTGGGAATAATTTCTTAGATTCCTTGTGAATTATTCTGTTTCACAGTTAATGGTTATATAACTGTACAGAAAAAACCCTCCAAGCCAAGATGAGACATTTCAGTGACTCTACGTGAAGTACTTTGTTGTGAAGTCTCATTTTTCACGGATCTCCTCGGCAAGAACRTGAACTTTGTTTACAGTGAGATGTGCAGTGCCTGAATTTGGCCGTGGTGCTCTGGCACGGCACACAGTGACTTAGTTCCTGTCTTGTATTTAAGGAATGGATCTTTATTCAACCCGGTATCCGCCGTGCCGTGGCAACACTGCAGAGCTCATCCCTGAGCAGGGTGGGGTTTGGAAGGAGAGGAAATACCTTTAGTTAAACCAACTGATACAGCTGGAAAAAAACTGTAAACTGCTGGTACAAAACATTCCACATCAGGCCTGGAGTGGGGCTCGTGATCACAAACCCTTTGTGTTTATTTTCCATCTGCTGTATCATTATGGCTTAGCACAGATCCTGTCTCCCTTGTGTTTTCTCTTTTCTTGCCCCATCTTTATTTAAACCTCGGATATAGAAATCTTTAAATAGGACAAATTATGGTTGTCAGCTCAAATCCTGTTTGCTGTTTCAAACACCTGCGTTTAAATCAGCAGATCCATAAGAAGTTTTTCAGTTTGCATTTTAAATGGGTTAATCAGTGCACGCAGTGCTTTGAACTAAAGTTGGAGACTCTCAGAAAGGAAAAGCTTCTGGGTTTGAGACTTTAAAAATAGCCTGGGCAAGACAGTAATAAAACATACTGTGGAGAGCAAGCTCAGAATGGCATGGAAATAATTCAGATGATCTAATAGGTCTCAGTGCTGTCTTGTGAGAGGTCTAATCCTGCCTCAGCGTGAGTTTAGTGTGTAACACTAACAGCACTCCCTTCATGGTGTAATGGACTGMCAGAGAAAGAGCCCCTAGGTAAAAATACCCCTTCAGAACAACCCAGAGTATGGGCATGGTGATAGATGTCAGTCACAGTTTGGAACCTGCTGTCTCTGGGAAATCATTTCCATCTTTAAATGATGTGTTCAGAGCAGCAAGCTGGAAATTCTGTAATGAAATCAGAAGTAGGAATTCTTCAAAATGTAACCAAATCCATTCACAGTGTGTTCTTCATGTCTGAGGTGATGAAGCTATACTAGCCTTGGATTTGTTTAGGTCAGTAATAATGACGTTCTTAGGTTGTCTGGCTATATAAAATAAATAATATTTTCTGTCTGAGGTTAAAAGGTGAATCTTACAGTGATTCAGTACATTCAGTATTACTTTTTAATGCTTTGAATAGGCATTTCACCATTTTCTCCCCTTCTTTTAAGGTATATTTTTATCCCTGCTCAAATCCTCTTCCTTTGCTGAGCAGCTGCCATTTCAATATGTTATTTTTATCCACCCCAGTAAGTGTGCTGCGTGCTGCACAGCCAATGTCAGCCTGCAGAAGCCTTTCCCTGGAGACTTAATTGCATCTTCTTTACGATGTACTCGGCCTGCCTGAGCTGAGCCTGGGATCCAGAGCCTGATTTTTGAATCTGGGTCTTCCAGATGGCAATTTGAGCATTACTGTAATAGTAGTAGGTTGACTAAATATTTCCTTGTTAAGTGACAGTGAAATGTCTTTAAATGCTTTATGACTGGTTTGCTACTGAAATAGCCAATATTTCAGCTCAGAATATCAGGTTATTGCCTGGAAATGATGCAAGGTGGGATGGATGAGAGCAGCAGGCAGGGACATCTGCTTCCAGCACTGCAAAGAATTCCTGTAAAATCTGGGTGTGAACAGCTCAGTGTCTGCAGGAATCCTGTGACTGTGACATAGCCTTAAAAACATACTTCTACACAAAAAGGAAGGGTTAGAAGTAGAGGAAGGTCAGACACTGAGAGGGTTGAAGAGCAGCTCTAAATTTGGGATCTGAAAAACCAGAATTATGAGAAGCTGCACCACTCAGGATTTCTCTGAGGAAGCAGAGAGACAGAGCTGTATTTTTAAAGCAACCACCATTCCCTTAATATTGACCTGAAAAACCATGGAAAATTTGAAGAAAATATGTAAGCCTTATAAAATGTTCTTTGATGAAAGAGATCCAAATAGTTTTGAGAGCATTTTTTTAATATTGGGTAAGAATCYGAACTGGTCGTTTCTTTTTGAGCCRTGTGGATTATACAGCATGTTGATATTAGTGRAGTAGAATGGGACATTTGGGTTTCTGTGTGATCCAGAAAATTAATGAGAATCTGCTGAGAATCAGTCCCAATTCTCTTTAGGGAAGTTTAGGATCATTGATACATGCATAGGATAAAATCTGACCTCCTTTAAAATGTAAAATAATAGACTTTGAGGTTTTTCACCAGTGCAGTGGTGTCTGTACCTCAGACTGTGGGGTTGATCTCCTTGGTCAGAACATAATTACTCATTTGCAACTTTTTAATATATCCAGCTTCAAATAAAATGCACAAAACCTTTGCTTTCTGTGCACCAGGCTGCAGACAGTTCAGGTTTTCCTTCATTTTCTTTGGAAACTGTTGGGGAGTTACTGTGTGAATGTTTCATCCTCAGGATCTTCCTGAATTTTCCCTCCTATGCCAGGAAAGGCTAATGGGATTTGCAGACTTGAGTGCATATTAATTAAAAGGAAAACCAATTGTTTTAGTGCCACAAAATAGTGCAGAACTGGGTCTAATAGCACTGGACTACARCCCATGCTGAGGGAGATGGGATGGGTGAAATTCTGTGGGAATTTTATTTAAAATCAGCATTTCCCATTCCTTTTCAATACACTGACTTCAGGTGGATTAAAGTAGAAGTATTACAACTTTTACTATTCTGTATTCTAAAATAATAACAAGCAAAACCCCATTTTCTTTCCAAACTCAGCTAATATTCAAAATTTTGAGGTGATTCTCACTATTTAAATTTTTTAATTGAAATGTTCGTTGAATTATCCCCACCTTTCCAATATTTGGGGTTTATCAGAGCTTTTGTTTAGAAGCAGCCAACAATCCTGTAAGAGAATGAAATCACCTGGGCAACAGGAAGGGGCTAAAATCTTCTATTAATAAATGCTGAGATCAGATTCACWGATTGGATTCTAACCTGCCATGGARGTAATGGATCCAAACCATACATAATGGATGATTTTACACTCATTAGCTACTACCTCATAAACTTCCAGCCACTTAAATGGACATTTGGGTTTGTGGCTTCAGCAAAATTCTTTGGAAGAGATGCTGGATTTGGTGAGGATTAGAAAGGCAAAGCTGGAGTGGGAATTAAAAAATTATGTCTGAAAAAAAGGAAAAAAAAAAGGGGGAATTGGCCTTTGGTGATACCCAGGGAGGAATGATCTCCAGTGAGGAGAGATTCCAGGAGCTGGGCCTGGTCAGTCTGGAGAAGGGAAACTGG